CCCCTCCTCCCTTCCCTTCCCTCATTCAAGATCTCCTTCCTCATTTGTCTTTCCTTGTCATCGGTCCCAAGGAAAACCAAATTAAATTACAGTCAGAAATAAGAATGATGGCGGCAGGTAAGAAATGTTAAAAATAGTGCCACGCAGCAGAACTGGATGGATGAAGCATACCTATCAGATGTGTCTAGTTCAAGTTGCTAAACAGCAAATTATTTCATGCAAAAATTCCTTTTCACAATTTCTTTTGCTTGTTACGTGTAGTAACAACAGTGAATCCCAAGTAAAAGTTCAACAAAGTAAAATGGTAAATGAAATTTTTACAGATTTTTTGAACAACGGGCACAGTTGCGTCCGGTGTATGGAAACACCAATAGCATCACTAACGCCAATTTTGGGATTTTGATCGAAGCTAAATTAGACATCAGCAAGGAACGAAAAGGCAAGCCAATATGATACAGTGAGTAGTTAGCTGAACAAACTTTGATAAAAGCTAAATTAATGCAAAAAAGAGTAGAATTTACTGCAGCGAGCATGGATGAGAGGTTGTTGGGAAGGAATGGCGAGAAAGGTGGGCTGAAGCGTAAGGTGATAGGAGGCCTAAACTGCGAAACAGCAAGGATCTCGCTCCTGGGCTCTTTGTTGTTTAATATGCATTATTGCGGGAGAAAGCATGCAACATTCACAAGCATATACATCGTACATTAAAAAACGAATCAACCGAACTGGAAAATTATACATTTAATGGCGAGAGAAGAGGAAAGAGAGGAAGCGAGGGAAAGCAAACATATGGACTGAAAAACGCTAACTCTGGAATGAACCAATACATTATTCATCTACCATGAATAGTTTTATTATTTTCAACTACACAACACTTCTATTTCCTAAGCGATCGTCCTGAAACAAGCACAGAAATGGCCCAAAGTGTTACTGTGAAACTGCGCGCCTAAGCCGAACGACAGAGTACAAGAAATGTTTTCTTTACGCAGATAGGCTGGATTTCTAGTGCAAGCTTACTATGTACCGCTTCTTTTCGAAAAATTATTCATAAAATTAGAAATTCGGCGCTTTAAAAGGTAGAAACTAGAAATTGTATGGAAAAGAAGGGAAAATAAGAAAAAAAGAGAGAGTGAGGTAAGACGTTTAGGAAACTACTTCAGTGATTAGTAAATTAATGCAAATGCTATAGCTGTTTTGGGCATGCTCTGATTCTAGTATAGTAAAAGACGGAGGCCGAAGTTACGCATGTGTGTCAAGGGATGCGTTTCGCTGATACTCTCAGAAACAATAGACACAATTAACACAGCTACAAAGGCTCTCATCAATTACGTTCCTTTCACTCTTATGAAAAAGTGCAGCCCGAGCGTAAGGAAAGTGCTAGGATGCAAGCATATGTTTTCAATTACTTGAAAATGCTTAGGACAGTGTTGTACTCTGTCCCGCGAAAGTTTCTGATCTGTCATCAAAAAAGGCCATGTATGTGCTTCTTTATTTGACTAAGGGACAAAACAGACTGCACCAGGGTTTGTTCATCGATGCTTGCAGTACCTTAGTCCAATATCTCGGTCTTATCCTCGAATTCACAAAAACGATCGCTTAATGGCACTTAGCAACAACCTATTAATCCTACGAAGGCATGCTTCTTACCAATAGTAGGCATACCGAAGTGTTCTGACAGAATTTCATCACATTTTCACTATACTTTCATTGCATCTGCTACTCCTTAACGATCACGTCTCATTCGAAAGGATGCTGAAGTGTGTTGGTAATAATGACACGCTAGCCTAGCCCATGCACATTGAGGAAGTAGGTCATTTCAGTAAAGAA